TCCATCTGTTACCGCAAACGAGACCTGAGGAGGGTCAGGTGGCTTTATTTTAATCCCTCTGCTTGGATCAGTGGCAGATTTTGTGAATCTTCCCCATTGTGCTTGGGTAGAAATACCCAGTGGCGCCGTCACGGCGTGAGGAGGTGAACCTTGTTGTGGTGAGCCCATCTTGGGACTTGGGCCGACCCTGGGGGGCTTGGGAAGCCCTCTGGGGAGATATTCGATCCCCTTTCGGGGTGGTTTCCCCAATGGAATTTGTTTGGGAAGGAGCAGGTTGGGAAGTCAACCCGTGATGGGGTAGAGCACGATGCGAGTGCAGGACCAAGGGGTGAGTAGGCAATGGTTGTGCTGTGAGCAGCTCCATCCAGTTCCCATCCTGGGACAGAGTTCTCCAACCCCAACTCGTCTCGTTTCATGATAGCAAAGTGGGCTTTTGGAGCGTGGGGTGATGGATTTGGGGTGGAATAGGATTTCCATTGCTAAACCTTGACCTCTTGGCACCTTTAGGACCATCTGGGAGGGACGGAGTTGTGGGATTGTAGAGTGGGTTGAAGCTGGGGTCAACTCTTTGGGTAAGGTTTGCTCCTGGAGGTGCTGCCTCTTTCTCTGTTGACATTCCTCATGGTGAGATAAAGGAACCCAGCAGGACTCTGTCACTCTGCTGTCCCGACTGCTGGGGTGACAAAGCTGCCTGGGTTGACACCACTGGGGACACCCAAGCATCACACGCTGCAGTTGGGTTGGTGATGGTGAAGGTCGGTGAGCAGGAAGAAAAGGGATTTCCCTCACTGGGGGGGAAAGGGCTACGCTCTATGCCAGAGCAAGGTTAGGATGTCCCAGGGGGTGATGGAGGCCAGAGCAAGGTTAGGATGTCCCAGGGGGTGATGGAGGCCAAGCAAAACTCCAGGAAGAGGAGGGGGAAAGTGTTAAGAAAATTGTTATCAAACCACAGCTGTGGCCGTTGCCCGATCCCACCTCTGACTTCTGCACCACAACGCACTGCAATGCAGGACTCAAAGCCTGTGCTGCCCCAGCCCCACGCAAAGCCCGGAGCCCCCGGCTCTGATGGGCAGCAGCAACCCCATAAAGCTTCTTTGCAGCTTGGGTGTGTAATTGAAGCACTTTTTACCGTGTTACGTAAAGTTGTTTTGTTTCGTTTTGTTTTTTTCCCCTTGGTTTGGTGACAAATGTTTGCTATTCTTGAGGAGCAAAAAGTGGTCCCCAGTGGGGCCGGGGAGTGAAGGCATACTGAGAAACTCCTCCCATATGGGGGTTTGCGTTCAGTGCTCAAATCCAACCAGCCAAAGACAGCAATAAGAACCGTTGTGTCCTCGTAAGTCCGCTTCTCAGTTTTATTTGGTCAAACCGTCAATATTTTCAGTCCAAGTGAGGGCTGCGGTTCCTTCTGCCTCTGTCACCCTGATGTCCTCTCCATGGCTTTAACCCGTGGCAGTTTGCTTTCCATCTCTTTCTTTTCCCTTTGGCTGTTGGCTCCCCATGGCCCCAACTCGCTGTTGCTCTGCTATAGGGAAATATAGGGCAGAAAGACTGGAAGGAAGGGAGGAAGGAGAGCTGTGGCAAGGCGTCACCATTTGGCACTTACAGAGTCACCAGCAATCAGGTGATAACGGATTTTTTTGAGTGTCTGGGAAACAGGAATAGCAAAAGATGTCATCTGATGGCAGCTTTCCCCAACTGGATGCGATGAGTTTGTAGGAAAACGCCCAACGCGACGCCTCAGCATTGCATCCTTGGGATGGAGCTGCAAGGCTGCAGCCATTGGGAGACATAGCAAGGAAGGGGAAAAAGGGCACGAGGGGGCACCCCAAAACTGCCCCCCAAAACCACAGAGCCTCCCCGTGCCCTAGCACCAAGCAGAGCAAACCCCCATCCATCTTTCTGTCTCATTTCTTGGCCCGTTCTGACCGACGGGACAGCTCGGATCAGCTCGTTTTTAAACAGCATTGGAACTCTTTAAGCAAAAATATATATACATATTAAAAAAATACGCAAATAAAAAAAAAAAAAAAGTAAAAAAAAAAAAAGTAAACACGTCTTCCAAGTCTCCACGGTGTGTAGGGAACATGGCCTCGAACTGACACGTTGGGAAGCCCCGCAGCCACGGCTTGTGACTATGAAGTGTAAATCTGGGTTTTCTCATTTGTTTTCCGTTCCGTTTTCCGTTCTGAAGATCAGCTCTTGATCTCCCTGACAGATTTCAGCCAAGAGTTTGTAACTGTACGATATTTACTGTAAGATGTAGAACATTCGATAACTATTAAAATGTTTCCAGAAAAAAAAAAAAAAAAAAAAAAGGAAGAGGGTCGGTGGGTTGTTTTGGTTTTGGTTTTGGTTTTGTCTTTTTTTGAGTTGCGAAGCGATGGGGTTCCACCTCCAAACCTGCCCCCAGGTGGTTGGTGGGGCTGGAAGGAGCCCAACCCTTGGGTTGTTCCATATCCCAACGTGGCCAACTGCCCTCAGGTGGTTGGTGGGCCATGAGGAACCCCAATCCATAGGTTATCCAATGTCCCAACATGGCCATCTGCCCCCAGGTGGTTGGTGGGCCTTGAGGGACCCCAATCCATAGGTTATCCAATGTCCCAACATGGCCATCTGCCCCCAGGTGGTTGGTGGGCCTTGAGGGACCCCAATCCATAGGTTATCCAATGTCCCAACATGGCCATCTGCCCCCAGATGGTTGGTGGGGCTGGAAGGAGCCCAACCCTTGGGTTGTTCCATATCCCAACGTGGCCAACTGCCCTCAGGTGGTTGGTGGGCCATGAGGAACCCCAATCCATAGGTTATCCAATGGCCCAACATGGCCATCTGCCCCCAGGTGGTTAATGAGCCTTGAGGAACCCCAACCCATAGGTTATCCAATGTCCCAACATGGCCATCTGCCCCCAGGTGGTTGGCAGGCCTTAAGGGACACCCCAACACGTGGGTCATCCCATATCCCAACGAGGCCAACTGCCCCCGGGTGGTTGGTGGGGCTGGAAGGAGCCCAACCCTTGGGTTGTCCCATGTCCCAACATGGCCAACAGCCCTCAGGTGGTTGGTGGGCCTTGAGGGACTTCAAAGCATGGGTTGTTCCATGTCACAGCATGGCCACCTGCACCCAGATCATCGGTGGGGCTGGAAGGAGCCAAACCCCTGGGTTGTTCCATATCCCAACGTGGCCAACTGCCCTCAGGTGGTTGGTGGGCGCCATGAGGAACCCCAATCCATAGGTTATCCCATGTCTCAACATGGCCATATGCCACCAGGTGGTTGGCAGGCCTTAAGGGACCCCAACACGTGGGTTGTCCCATATCCCAATGTGGCCAACTGCCCCTGGGTGGTTGGTGAGCCTTGAGGGACCCAATCCATAGGTTATCCAATGTCCCAATGTGGCCATCTGCCCCCAGGTGGTTGGTGGGCCTTGAGGGACTTCAAAGCATGGGTTGTTCCATGTCACAGCATGACCACCTGCCCCCAGATGGTTGGTGGGGCTGGAAGGAGCCCAACTCCTGGGTTGTTCCATATCCCAACGTGGCCAACTGTCCTCAGGTGGTTGGTGGGCGCCATGAGGAACCCCAACCCATAGGTTATCCCATGTCTCAACATGGTCATCTGCCACCAGGTGGTTGGCAGGACTTAAGGGACCCCAACACGTGGGTTGTCCCATATCCCAATGTGGCCAACTGCCCCCAGATGACTGGTGGGGCTGGAAGGAGCCCAACCCTTGGGTTGTTCCATATCCCAACGTGGCCAACTGCCCTCAGGTGGTTGGTGGGTGCCATGAGGAACCCCAATCCATAGGTTATCCCATGTCCCAACATGGCCATCTGCCCCCAGGTGGTTGGCAGGCCTTAAGGGACACCCCAACACGTGGGTTGTCCCATATCCCAATGTGGCCAACTGCCCCCGGGTGGTTAATGAGCCTTGAGGGACCCCAATCCATAGGTTATCCAATGTCCCAACGTGGCCATCTGCCCCCAGATGATTGGTGGGGCTGGAAGGAGCCCAACCCTTGGGTTGTTACATATCCCAATGTGGCCAACTGTCCTCAGGTGGTTGGTGGGTGCCATGAGGAACCCCAACCCATGGGTTATCCAATGTCCCAACATGGCCATCTGCCCCCAGGTGGTTGGCAGGCCTTAAGGGACACCCCAACACGTGGGTTGTCCCATATCCCAACGTGGCCAACTGCCACCAGGTGGTTAATAAGCCTTGAGGGACCCCAACCCATGGGTTATCCAATGTCCCAACATGGCCAACTGCCCCCAGGTAGTTAGTGAGCCTTGAGGGACCTCAACCCACGAGTTGACCCATGTCCCAGTAGGTCCACCATGGTCCTGTAGCCTTGAGACAAGGTTAGGGACATGCCTACGGGAAGAATGATGGTGGAGCTCCATGATGATGCTCCCCAAGCATTTAATCTCCATCCCCGCAGCCCAGCAGATGAAGAAGGTGTCCATCAAGCACTGCCTTTGTCCCCAACCTCAGCACCATGTGGCACAGAGCTGGGTGCTGCTGTGTGTGGGGCCAGCAGAGCCTTGGGCATGATGTGGGATCAGCTCCCATGTGGTCCCACACCTCCTTCTGAGGCCACCACTGCTGTCCTGCTGCTTTGCTCAGCCCCACAGGATCCTTTGGGTGTCACTGTCCCCACAAGGCCACCTCTGGGTCAAATGATGTCTGCAAAGGACAAGGGACCATCTGCATCTCCAGCTGAGGATAGATTGTGGCCTATGGACCACTTGAGGTGGCAGTGCCACAGCCTGGGCCATCAGTGATTGCTGTCACCATGCCATGGAGGAGGACATCCCATACACCTCATGCAGCTGCTGCTCTAGAAACCCCACAATGATGCTGAGGCCCCTTTTTGGGGGCAGTCAGGGTGTCCCCAAATGGGCAGAGCCCCCTCCCATGCCCAGGTGTCCCCACTGGGGGTGAAGAAAGAAGGGAGAGAATAAAAGCACCAAACCCCCATCTTCTTTGCCCAAAACAGAGCTCGTTTATTAACGACAACCTCTCCAGCAACAGAGCCAGGAGGCTTCAAATAATAACAATTAAAAAAAATTAAGAAAATACAACAGAAACAGCGTCAAAGGGCTGGGAAAATCCAGGAGGGGTAATAAATATGGGGAAGGGGCAATGGAGCGCCAGGGGAGGGGGGGGGGGGGGGGGGTGAGGGAGCTGGTGCCAAGCTGCTGCCAGCAGTGATGCTGGGGACAGGGAGGGGTCACCGCTCCCCGTGTCCCATGCGTTAGTGACTTCATTTCCAGAAATTAACCCCAAATGATTAAAAAAAAATCAAAAAACATTAAGAATCCATCGCCTGACCGCCATGAAGGGCCCAACGTGCAGAGCCCTGGTCATCCTGGTGCCACCATAGTGGGGACATCGATCAGGGGGACAGCCCTTCCTTGTCCCAGGGACATTTCGGCTGCCATCGCCTCACGTGGTGCCCGGGGGTCGCGTGGTGCAGTGTCTGAGCCCCTCACCCTGCATCAGGGCTGGCTTCTGCTGGTGTCACATGGCAAGAGTGCTGTCCCCAAACCGGGCTGCGGAGGGGCTGCCCTGGGAGCAAAAGGGGATGTGATCATAGGGATGTGACGTCCATCTCCCTGCGTTTGGCCCCCATTGCCTCTGCCATCCCATAAATACCCCTTTTTTGGTCACTTTTTGGTCACTCACATCTGATTCTTCATTTTATTTTATTTTTTTTCCAATAAATATTGAAGTTCTCACTGTGCTGGAGAGCCCCAGAGCAGCCGGAAGAGGCTTGGGGACGAAGGGCTGTCCCCACACCCTCAATTGCAGAGCATTCACCGTCAGTGCCCTCATTAGGCTTCAGAGTTAACACTTCCCAATCCCAACACAGCATCGCACTGATTTCTCTTAGGAAAGATCCCAAAAAGGTGACCACTCCCGGGCCCCCACTGACCACCGTGACCCCAACCCCAGGGTTGTCCCCAACCCACATCCTGTCCCCCAATCCCTCACCTCAGGGCGGCTGTCAGTGCTTTTCAGCCACGACGGCCTCGTGCTGGTGGGGAGAGGATCACCTCCAACACCAGGCTTCTGCTCGGGGATCCGGGACACCCGAAATCTGCATGGGGGCATTGTGTGAGCCCACCCCACCTTGGGATATGGGCTGGACAAATGGGACCCTCCCCCCTCCCCCCAGATCCACGTGCTCACCTTCCTATGGAGAGAATGGTGATCTCACCGGTGGGTCTGGTGGCTTTGGTGGCTGTGGGGGATGGCAGCACTTGGGGCCACTTCCTCTGGCTGCATCGGGTGCAGGGGGGGTCTGAAGGGGGAGCCGGGCCGTGCACTGTGTGCAGGTGCTGCTGGTGGCAGCAGGAGGGGGGAAACTGAGGCAGGAGGTGCAGCCTATGGGGGACAAGGAGTGACATGAGCCGTGTGGGGGTTCAGTGGGGCTGGAGGGACTCAGAGGGGTTTGGGGGGGAAGTCTCTCACTTGTAGGCAGGTTTGCAACCCGCTGGTGCTGGCTGCATGCTCTGATGTTCCTTCAGCAGCTCCTCCAGCGCTGCAGCATTTTCTGGAGGTGGGGGGACAGAGAGAGTCACCAGGAGCCACCTGGGGTGGCAGAACCTTCCCTGGCCATTGGGGGGCCCCTTCCCCCTTCCCGGGGGGCTCCCGACCTTTCTTCTCTGTGATGAGGCGCACCAGGACCCCGATGGTGTCCTCATTGGCATCCTCAATCTGGTAGATGGAGCTGGGACCTGGGGACAGATGGAGAAGGCATGAAGAGAAGCGGCCACGGGGATGGGCTTGATGTTCCATGGCCAATGGGACAACGTGGGAGCAAGCAGATGCCATGGGGATGAGCAGGATGCTCCAACCCTAGGGACAAGAGCAACCAGACACCCTTGGGGATGGGCCCCATGCTCTCCATGGGTTCCCATGCTCACCATGGCCACAGGACACCACGGTGACCAGATGACATGGGGATGCTCCAACCATTGGGACAAGATGTGAGCAACCAGACGCCATGGGGATGGGCTCGAGCAGATCAAGTTGGCTTCAGGGTGGCGAAGCTGGGTCACGCCTCCATACCAACCTCAAACCAACGTCATCACTGGGCCACATTCTGATCCCTTTATGGTCCCAAACCACTTGGGTTCAACGGCAACCAGAGGCAACCCCAGAATACTGGGTGCACGGGAGTGGGGCTCACCGCTGGTGTTGTGCTCGTGTTCCTTGTGTGCGGTGCAGTGGTAGCCCTTCTTCTTCAGCAGGTTGCACACCAGGATGCCCAGCAACCCCATGGCACAGAACACGGGGACGATGGCCAACACGGCCGACTGCGCCGCCGCCGCCTCCTCCGGTTGAAGCTCCCATGTCCCATTGGTCCCCGATGGTCCCCGAGGTGTCACCACGCTCCTGGCTCGCCGTTGGCCTGCAGCCAGGGTTGGATTTGGGAAAATTCCCCCCATTGATGCCATGAGCACTAATCCTGCTTCAAATCCATCACTGGGTTATTTTGGCACTTGAATCTTCCTCAGCTGGATTTGGCAGAGTTCTCCCGTTGATGCCATGGGCATTGCTCCTATCCCACCCCAACTCCATCACTGGGTTATTTTGGCACCGAATCCTCCTCCTGTGATGGACTTGGCAGATTTTCCCCACTGGTGCCATGAGCATTGATCCTATGCTCACTCCATCATTTCAGTATTTCGGCACCACGTTCCCTCAGGCTGCATTTGGGGGATTTACCCCATCGGTGCCATCACAGCTCCTACCCCCACATCCATCACCATGTCATTTTGGCATCATATTCTCCTCCCAGGATGGATTTGCTGATGTCCCCCCATTGGTGCCACGAACCCCAGTGCCACGCTCACTCCTTTACCGCGTTATTTCAGTACCACATTTCCCCCATGCTGGATTTTGGGGTTCCACCATTGGTGCCACGAGCACAACTCCTACCCCAAATCCATCACCGCATTATTTTGGCACTGAATCTTCCTGAGCTGGATTTGGCAGAGTTCTCCTGTTGGCGCCATAAATATTGAACCTATTCCACCCCAAATCCATCACCCCCACGCTCCAAAGCCCGCAGCTGACCGCGCCACCCCTCACCCACCTGTGCACCCCGGGGTGCCGTGGGGCGCAGCAGAGCAGGGCAGGCACCGGCCCTGGGGCTCCCTATGGCCATCAGGGCTGTAAAACCTGTGGGATACGGTGAGGTGAGCACAGGGGTATCCATGCAAACCCCCCCCACCTCCCCAGTGCACGGCGCCCCATGCTCACCCGTGCAAGCAGGCGCACGGTGCATCCCCTGCAGAGGAAGAGCCAGGGGGACAGGGGCGGCAGCTCTGTGCTGTGCTGCACGTCTACAGGGAGGGAAAGAGGGTGGTGAAGGGGTGCAGGCTGCATGGCACGGGGTGGGGGCATCACCCACGGGCAACACTCACCCCAATGGGTTCCTCTCCAGGTGGGCATCGCAGCAGCTCGCAGGCTGTGGCCCCCATGCAGGGGCTGCTCAACACCTGGGGGAGAAGAGGGGTGTTCAGCAGGGTGCAGCAGGGGAGAATGCATTGCAAAGGACAGGATGCAAAGGCATTGTGAGGGACAGGGCAGGTGCAATCCCGTTGCGTGCATCGTGGTGGGCGCAATGCTGTCACAAGCAACGGGATGGAAGCAAAGCTTGCTGCGTGTGCTGCTGGGAATGGGATGGAAGCAAGGCTTTACGGTGGGTGCAATCCCATCACAAGCAGTGCAAGGCTGCAAAAGCACTGCATGCGTCATGGTGTGGGTGCAGATGCACAATGCAACGGGATGGATGCAGTGGGATGGATGCTCCACGGTGGGTGCAAACTCGCAAGCAATGGGGTGGGTGCAAATAGGCTCCCAGGCAACGGGAGGGATGCAAAACCACTGCATGCTCAACGGCAGGTGCAAATGCACCACAAGCAATGGGACAACTGCAACGGGGTGGATGTAAACTCATTGCATGCACTACGGTAGGTGCAGGCTGATCACGAGCAATGGGACGGATGCAAACCCCCACCACGTGCAGCATGGTGAGTGCAAACCTGTGGCAAGGAATGGGGGGGCTGCAAAGCCCTTCCGTGCACTGCAGGTGATGCAAACCTGTCAGCAGCAAGAGGATGGCTGCAAGACCACCGCATGCACTGCAGCAGATGCACACCAACCCAGTTCTGCAGCAGCCCAGCAGATGCACAGCCATTGGAATCAACATTGGAACTGGGGCCATGTCGGGTGGAGGACAGTGGCAATCCCAGGATGGGAAACCCCCACGGGACACCCCCAGAGTAAAATGGGACATCTGGGGGGGCATTTGGGGTTTTAGAATTGGAAGAACCAAGATGAGACGTGCAGAGGGATGGGATGAGGCTGTACTCACCCCCAGGACAGCGAGGAGCCACCAGCACATCCCCAAGCTCTGCAGCCACCGGGGCCACCTGTGGGGACACGGCACAAGGAAACAGTGTCACTCCTCCCTGATTCCTGCACAGGGGACAGCAAGGGTTTTTGGGTCTGGGGCCCAAAAAGCCCACACAGGGGGACGTGGGAGGTTATCCACTAGCACAGCCTTTGCAAGGGAGCAGTCAGCTGGAAAATAACCCTGTGAGAGGGGAGGAATTGGGTTATTTCACAGCTGGAATGCTCTCCCCTGGCCCCATTTGCTGCAGTGCAGCCAAGCAGCACAGTTGGGTTTGGGATTACTTCCCAAGCCTTGAGGTTTTCCTTCTAAAAGGAGCAAAGCACCTCCACAACTAGAAAAAAAAACATCATTATAATAGAACAAAACAACCTCGTGACCAAAAAGCCCCAATATTTTGCATCCTTACCCCAATATATGGCACCCTTGTGCTAGAAAAAAACCCAACACCTTCAGGACCAAAACCTCCAATATTTTGCATCCTTACCCCAACATTTGCCATCCTTACAATAGACCAAAAACACCCTTGCAACCAAAAAAACCCCAGTATCTTACAGGAGCCCCTTTGGGTGCAGCGGAATCACAGCCCACAGCGGCTCAGCGCCCAAAGGAAACCCAATTTTAGCTCAGTAGGAATCCAGCACTCACACCTCCCATTTTAGGGCCGCTCACACAATCCCACTCCCTTCCTGCAGAGGATTTGCTAAATCTGATGGCAGCTGAACACCAATTTCTCTCCCAGTGCCATCAGCTCCAATGTCCCCAGCGCCATCGGTGCAGCTCAGCGCAGTCCCTCCCGTCTCCTTGTGTTTAATTGAAGGCAAATCATTAAAAGCTGATTGGAAGTTCCCCCAGGAATGGGGTGAAATCCTTGGCGAGGGCCCCAGTGTGCGCTCAGAAATTCATCAGGGTTGACAAAATAAAACAGAACAGTGGAAAATCCCAACATCTAAATCAATATTGCTGGGCTATCGTTGGGATGGCATGTGCACGCATGGGGGCAAAACCCCAAACCTCTGAGTTCTTCTACCTCCAGTGCTGCAAAGGAGAGAATTATCTGGGGGCCCAAATCTCCCTCCATATCCCAGAATGCTTGGTTTTGCTTTGGGCAATGCTGTTGTTATATCAGACAACGCTCATCCAATGCTCTCAAGACCCCATCACTACTCCCAAAATCCTATTAAAGGCCTTTGAGTGCAGCTCTGCCCTTCTCTACACATCCCAAAATCTGCTGGGACCGGAGGCACCGAAGCTCTGCGGGGGAAGGAACAGATGCTGCAAACCTTCAGCATGGATATTTCCTGCTCCGGAGCAAAATGATCGGCATCCTCCCCTGCACAGCACTGCCCAGCCCCGGAGCGTCACTGCAAAGAGAAATTAATGCATACAAACACAATTAAAAATGTATTTCCAAGCAAGCAAAAAATAATAACAATAATAATAATAATAATAATAATAATTAGTCACCTCAACCCAAAGAGCCTTTCAGCCAACCTCGACCCAGTGAGCAGATTCTGCCAACACCGAGCCGACCAATGGATCCGCTCTGCTGACACCAGTGATGGATCCTTTCCACCAACCTCGACCCCATGAGAGGATCCTTTGGGCCAATCAAACGATGCGTCCTCTCTGCTGACACTGACCCAATGATGGATCCTTCCTGCCAGCCCAATGATGGATCCTTGCTGCCAACCCCGACCCAACAAGCGGCCCTTTCCACCAACCCCAAGTCGACAGCGGGCTCCCTTTGATGATGCCAACCCAAGTGGGTCCTCCCTGAGATAGAATCATAGAATCATAGAATCACCAAGGTTGGAAAAGACCTAAAAGCTCCCCCAGTCCAACCGTTCACCTATTCCCAACAGCTCCCACTAAACCACGTCCCTCAACACAACATCCAGCCTTTCCTTGAACACCCCCAGGCTCGGTGACTCCACCACCTCCCTGGGCATCCATTGCAGTGCCTGACCACCCTTTCTGACAAGTAATACTTCCTCATGTCCAGCCTGAATCTCCCCTGCTGCAGCTTGAAACCATTCCCTCTGCTCCTATCACTGATGACACGAGAGCAGAGGCCGACCCCCAGCTCCCTGCAGCCTCCCTTCAGGAAGTTATAGAGAGCAATGAGGTCTCCCCTGAGCTCCTCTTCTCCAGGCTGAACATTCCCAGCTCCTTCAGCCTCTCCTCATCAGCCCTGTGTTCCATGCCAACAAGGGATCCTTTCCACCAAGCCCAACACAACAAGAGGGCCCAACCCATCGACCCAACGCTGGGTCCTCTCCACCAGTGCCAACCCGATGAGCAGATCCACTTCTTCTACCCAATGATGGATCCTTTCTGCCACCCTGATCCAACAAGCGGCCCTTTCCACCAACTCCAACCCAATGATGGCTTCTCTTTGGTGATGCCAATTCAGCGAGCAGGTTCTTCTCTCTGATGACGTCAAACCAACCAGCTGGTCCTCTACAACAATGCCAACAGGGGATCCTTTCCACCAAGCCCAACACAACAAGAGGGCCCGTCCCATTGACCCAACGCTGGGTCCTCTCCACCAGTGCCAACCCGATGAGCAGATCCAGTTCTTCTACCCAATGATGGATCCTCTCTGCCAACCTCAACTCAACAAGCGGCCGTTCCGCCAACCCCGACACAACGATGGCTTCTCTTTGACAACGCCAATCCAACGAGTGGGTTCCCCCTGATGGTGTCAACCCAAAAAGCGGGTCCTCTCTGACAACACCAATGATGGATCCTTTCCACCAACCCCAACACAATGAGAGGGTCCATTCCATCGACCCAACGCTGGGTCCTCTCCACCAATGCCAGCCCAATGTGCAGATCCTTTTCACCAACCCAACGATGGTTCTCTCTGATGATGCTGACCCAGTGACAGGTCCTTCGACTGAATAAACCCAAAGACCAAAGCCTTTTTGGGGTGGGTGGCCCCCCGTAGCAACCCACTGCTAAAATGAACCAACAGCTTCACCACCCTGCAGGCACAACTCATGTGCTGTGTGTGCTTGGGGACGGGTGGAAAAATAATTAAAGTCGATTCTGTCATGAAGTGGGAAATCCCTTGAATGCCCCTGGGTGTAGTGGGGCATCCCCATAAAGCTGCCCCACGTGACGCTGCTGATAAGGAGCCATTATGTGCTGGAGTGGTTTATAAATTGAATGAATGAGCAATTAGCACGCAGCATCACTCATCTGGGATGCAGCTGCTGCACGATGGGGGTGGCTACAGGCTGGTGTCAGGATGCGAGGGCACCAAGCTGTGTCCCAGTTCCTCCCAGTCACCATGGGGGCAGAAAGGAGGCTCGAGAGCAGCTCAAAGCTCGGAGACGGCAGCACACAGTCCCAGACTGACCTCAAACCTCAAATACCACAGACAGCCACAATTTGGGAAGGGAGAGGAAAAGCCAGGGACAGGAGCAGGCAGCAGCACGTGGTGCTGCAATGCAGATCCCCGTGCTGAGCACCCTCCAGTGACCCCTCGCTGTGCCACGTGTCCCAGCACCGGCAACAGCCTCGTGTGGGGCTGTTAAATCCTCCCTGGGGAGAGGTGTTTGGGGCTGTGTGGTGATGCCTATGGGATGGGGAGCGCTCATCCTGGGGTATTTGGGGGTGCTATGAGGGGATCTGTGCGCCCGCAGGGGATGGGATGGAGGGGATGAGGGGCACAACGGTGGGTGGGATAGGGGCAGGTCTGAGCATCAGCACTTAGGAGTGATTGTCTCCTTCCCCCCTCAGCCCTGCCTGCTGGGATCTGGGGAGCATCCAGCTGGCCCCGTGCACCTCATGCTGTCGTTCCAAAGCCAACAGACACAAAGAAGTTTGGAGAGTTCTGGCACTGGGGATATATTTGGAGGAGCTCTGAAAACTCCGGGAGCAGGACTGGCCCCAAAGGACCTCAGCCTCACTTCACAGAACCACAGAACCCCAGGGGTTGGAAGGGACCTCGAGAGATCATCGAGTCCAACCCTCCTGTCAAAGCAGGTTCCCTACACCAGGCTTTGTATGGGGATGATGGGATGCCCCAAGTAGAAACCAATTATCCAGCCTCACAATTGGCTGCTTGGTGGGGGACAACCCAACTTTTGCAAGCCCCACGATAGGATTTTTTTTGTACCCCAAAATAAAACAAGCCCTTAAGGGCCCCCTCACTTAACCCAGCCCATAAGCTAAGCGTGCCCACAGGGATTCAAGGCAGGGTTTCCCCTCCACACACAGCTTAGGGTTTCAGCTGATTGCTCCCAGAGATAACAGAGAACAAGGAGCGACTGTATGGGGACACTTTGGGAACAGCAGCTTGGCCACCTGGGCAGCACAAGGGGGGATTGTCCAGCTGAAACCCAACGCTGTCACAACTCTGCCACCAAAACCCAACACCAGGTTTGTGGGAACGAATAACAACCCTTCATTGACTTTCAGAACAGAGCCAAGCGATCCCAGAGGCACCGTAGTGCCAATCCCCAGTTTGGGAAGCCACCCCCGCTCACAGCATCCCAGCAGTAGAGGGAACAGGGCTGAAAACGCTGCGATTTTCCACCGCCAGATTAAAGCAAGAGGGGGAAAAAAAAAAAACAACAACCAAACCCCAGCTCCTATTTTTCCAGATGGCCACCGTGGAGTTTTCCATAACCTACTTTCTCCACTCCTCTTCTGCCGTATATCCTCACCGCGGCTGCAGCCGGGGGGCCGCATCAGCGACACTTTGGGGACAAAGCTGAAGCAACAAATCCCCCCCCCCCCCTCCCCCTCCCCTAATTTGTATTATAGCTCCTTACAGACGCATCACCCGAGCCCTCCAACCCCCCCAAATAATCAACCCCAGATCAACCCGGATAAGAAACGTCACCCCTTACCTGTCCCCACCGCGGGGGTGACGCGGGGGTGACACCGACGCCGTTCCCACGGGGGCGCCCCATTGAGGCTGGGCGGCCGCTCTTTATGAATGAACGCTCCGTCCCCCGCGGGCGCGCTACTCCCGCTAGCCACGCCCCCCTCCCTTGTGACGTCACAATGCGGGGCTTCCCCCATCCCCCTCCCCCCGCCCATCCCGCGATGACGTCAGCGCCACGCTCGGAGGATTCCCCCGCCCCTCCCGCGCGCAGCGCCCCCTGCCGACGGGTTTGGAGGGGAGGGGAGATGAAGCGCCCCCCCGAAGGGGTTTTTTGGGGGGCAAAACAGAGGAAAAAAGTGAAATCCTGGCGTGAGAGGCGCTGCAGAGAAAGTTGGGAAAGATAGGATTTCTTTTGCCTTGCGTGGAGTCTCTGTGAGGGCACCCCGGGGTGCTTGCAGCCCGTTGTTTGCAGTGCTGAATGTCACCCTGTCCCCAAACCCCTCGGGGCAGCTGTGCCGTGATGGGGACACGGCGCCGAGCCCCTCGATAGGTCTGGATCTGCTTCCTTTGTCCCATGGTGGCCACCTCTTGCATGTCCCCATCCTCACCCAAAGTCCCCATCCTCACTCCGATGTCCCCATCCAAGGTCCCCATCCAATATCCCCACTCAATGTCCCCATCCTCACCCAGTGTCCCACCCAATGTTCCCATCCTCATCCCAATATTCCCATCCTTATCCCAATGTCCCATCCTAGTGTCCCATACAATGTCCCCATCCTCATCTCGAGGTCCTCATCCTTACCCCAATGTCCCATCCTCAACCAGCGTCCCATACAATGTCCCCATCCCCACCCTAATGTCCCTATCCCCTCTCCAATGTCCCCACCCCAACCTCTCATCCCCACTCCAATGTCCCCATCCTCACTCCAATGTCCCCATACGTCTCATCCTCATCCCAATGTCCCATCCTCAACCAGCATCCCATACAATGTCCCCATCCCCACCCTAATGTCCCTATCCCCTCTCCAATGTCCCCACCCCAACATCTCATCCTCACTCCAATGTCCCCATACGTCTCATCCTCATCCCAATGTCCCATCCTCAACCAGTGTCCCATACAATGTCCCCATCCCCACCCCAATGTCCCTATCCCCTCTCTGATGTCCCCACCCCAACATCTCATCCTCACCCCAATGTCCCAACCTCACCCAGTGTCCAATACAATGTCCCCATCCTCACTCTGATGTCCCCATCCAAGGTCCCCATCCAATATCCCCACCCAATGTCCCCATCCTCACCCAGTGTCCCACCCAATGTTCCCATCCTCATCCCGATGTCCCCATCCCCACCCCAATGTCCCCATCCTCACTCCAGTGTCCCCATCCAATGTCCCCATCCAATATCCCCACCCAGTGTCCCCAGCCTCACTCCAATGTCCCCACCCCAACATCTCATCCTCACCCCAATGTCCTATCATCACCCAGTGTCCCATCCAATGTCCCCATCCCCATCCCATCCTCACTCCAGTGTCCCCATCCCGTTGTCTCATCCTCTTCCCAATGTCCCCATCCAATGTCCCCATCCTCACTCCAATGTCCCCATATGTTCCCATCCTCATCCCAATGTCCCCATCCTAACCGCATTGTCCCATCCTAGTGTCCCATACAATGTCCCCATCCTCATCTCGAGGTCCCCATCCTCACCCTAATGTCCCATCCTCACCCAGTGTCCCATACAATGTCCCCATCCTCACCCCAGTGTCCCCATCCTCACTCCAATGTTCCCACCCAATGTCCCCATTCTCACCTCTTTTTTCCCAATCCCAATGTTTCATCTTCATCCCAATGTCCCCATCTTCACCCCCACGTCCCCATCCTCACCCTGTTGTCCCCTTTCTGATGTCCCCATCTTCATTCCAATGTTCCCATCCCAACATCTTCATCCTCACCCTGATGTCCCCATCCTGATATTCCTATCCTTGCCCCGATGCTCCTGCCCTGTTTTCCCAGTCCTCACCCCAATGTCCCTGTCCAAATGTCCCCACCCTCGCCTCAATGTCCCCATCCCACTATCCCCATTCTCACACTGGTGTCCCTGTCATATGTCCCCGTTTTCACCCCCATGTCCTCATCCTCACTCCAATGTTCCTGTTCTGATGTCTCCATCTTCATTCTGATGTTCCTGCTCCAAAGTCATCCAGTGTCCCTCTCATGACATCCCCATTTTCACCCCATCCTGATGTCCCCCTCTTTGTTCCAATGTCCCCATCCCAATGTCTTCATCCTCACCCCAACGTCCTCATCCTCATCCAACATCACCACCTTCATCCCAACGTCTCCACCTTCATCCCAGTGTCTCCATCTTCATCCTCATGTCCCCATCCCAACGTCTTCATCCTCACCCGGGTGTCCTCACTCTGATGTCCTCATCCTCACCCCAAAGTCCACATCTTCATCCCAGTATCCCTATCCAAACCTCTTGCTCTTCCCCATGATGCCCCCACTGCCACGTCCCCATTCCAACACCTTTCTCCTTGCCCAATGTCCCCATCCTCACCCTGTTCCCATCCCCAAGTGAAGGACGAGACCACGCTCAGGTACTTCTGCCACAGATGACCTTTAATGACAGGGAGCCCCCACATGAGCAAAGCCACCCCCAAACCCCACACTATACAGAGCATCACCCCCGTGCTGCCATCCCTCCCCACAAAACCCCCTGCTCAGATGGACAGATGGATGCAGCGTCTCCATCAATCGCTGGGGCTGGAACATCCCTGTGTGTCTGCATCGTGGTTGTCACCTCCCCATGGGGACACAGGCACGACAAGAGACAGTGGGATGAAAGTAGGAAAAATTTGGGGGGGCCTGGGGGGAGGTGTAGAATGGGAGAGTTTTAGGTTCCAGCTGTAGGTTTTGGGAGTCCAGCTGTTTGGTCTGGAGGATGCTACGAAGAGCAGCAGTGCCATTGCCCCATGTCCCCACAGGGCACAGCACGGAGCAGAGGTGCCTCAGTCCCATCTCACTACGGGATACAATGGGGAGCAGTGGGAGTTGTGGGGTTCCAAACCTTTGGGGACCAGCAGGCCGCAAAACCCCACGGAAAGCGTGGAATAAAACCCCGATTTCTGCCCTTCTCCTCTGCATTCCCTCCTTCCTTGTGTGTGCCCCCCAGCCCCACCAGCAGCAATTTGGGGACACCCCCACATGTGTCCCATTCTCCAATCCCCGCAGCCTGCGAGAAAATCCTCTTTGAACCCCCCCCAAAAACCCCTTTTTCCCCCCTTTGTTTCATCCAGCTCCTGACACAGCCAGTCCTGCGTTGTGGGGCTGCGTGGGGCCATTTGGTGACACCCATCTGTGGGCTGCCAAGGATGCGGCGGTGGCACATTGGTGACACTGTGGCTGTGACAAAGTGGGGGAGGGGAGGGAACCCTCTGTCGATGGGGTCAAGGTCAATGTGGGGATCCTTCAGTTCTAGGGATGGGATGACAGCACAGCCCCCTAACCTTAATCCTAAACCCTACACTTCATCCTAAACCCATCGCGCCCCTCCTTCCCCGACAGCCCCACCTCTTTGCTACCCTCCCCGTCAAAACGAAAGGAAATAAATAGGGCTGTTTATATATATAATATATATATATATATATTTAAAACAAACGAACAAACAAACAGAGTTGTCTGGGTGCTGGCGATGGAGCGAGCGCGTTAGCTGCAGGGCGGGGGGGGGGGCCCGGGAGGGGTCCCTCACCATCCCTGGGGCGGTCCCCGATGTGGGGTAAGGGGGTGACCCACCTCCCCCCCCCCCCACCTCCCAAAGCAGGCACACATGAAACCGGGGCGAAAGGCAGCGGCGCTGGCCGTGTCCCCCCCTCCCCTCCCAACCCCCATCCCAAAGCTCTGTCCGAATGGGCACGGCTCCCCCCAACCCTCCCCCCTCCCCTCACCCCCCCTTACTTCCACCCCATATCTCCTCGCCCCCGAAAGCGGCGGTCGGGGTGGATGCGTCCCCCCCCAACCCTTCCCCAGAGCACACAGAGAGCAGCCGGGCTGGAGATGAGACGTGCTGGGCTGGGTTTGGGGGGAGGGGGAGGAGGAGGGGGAGTCCGTGGGTTGGGGCTGGGGTCTGCATGGTGAGTGTGGGTGGAAGGAAGGGGGGTCAGACCCGCCACAGCAGGAGGTGGTTGGTGCTGTCGTCGCGCCCCACGCTCTCGCTGCTGTTGGTCAGGCGGAAATCCTCGTAGCCATCGCCGCCGCTGATGACCAACATTTTGGCTTTGGACATTGCCAGGCGGGGCTGAGTCGGGTCGCGCTGCTCCGCATCGTTCGGCTGCTCGGGGCCTGAAGGGCAAAGAGGCCGCACAGCTGGGACGGGGCGGTAGGGGCGGGGGAGGGGATCCGCCGTACCCCAGCCGCAGCTTTAACCCCGCCCACCGCCAATTTAGCCCCGCCCATTTCCGCTCGCAGCCCCGCCCACCCACCCTCGAAACAGCCCCGCCCACTAAGGGTCAGCCACGCCCCCTTCCCCCGACTTCTCCTCCCACCTCCGTGGTAAAAAAAGCCCCGCCCACTACCTCATTTCTTACATCAGTAGTAAACCCCGCCCACCCCTCTCTTAGCCCCGCCCACCACGCGGTCACACACCCAATCCTGCGGTTAGCCCCGCCCACCTCACAGGCAGCCCCCCGCCCATCACCTGACTGACCACGCCCACTCCCGTAGCCCCGCCCACCCACGTAGCCCCACACATTCCCGCCCATCCCCTCTCACTCCCGCGGTTGACCCCGCCCACCCCCCCGTTTAGCTCCGCCCACGCCAGAGGTAGCCCCACCCACCCCAAGCCTAGCCACTCCCACTCCGCGGCTAACCACGCCCACTTCGCACATAGCCCCGTCCACACGTTAGCTCCGCCCACATCGCGCTTCCCCCTACACCCGCGGATAGCCCCTCCCACTTCCGTTGCTAGCCCCGCCCACTCTTCGCTTAGCCCCGCCCACTCTTCGCTTAGCCCCGCCCTTTGCCACCTTTAACCCCGCCCACCCCTATGGGCCCCACCTCAAGTCGCTCCTCCCTGCTTAATTACTGCCTCCCATCCCAATTAGCCGTTCCCACCTCCAATTAACACCTCCCACCCCAAGCCCCCCCCCCCCCCCCCCCACAGCTGGATCCTCCCATCCCATGTTAAACACTTCCAAACCGTCCCCAATCCCCCCCGGACCCCGAACCCCCCACCCTGCACCCACCACCCCCATCCCGAAAAGCCCCCCTTGTACCCAAAACCGCAACCCCAAAACCCACCTCCCCAATGCCACCCCACAACCCCACCCCTCCCAATTCCCCAAAGCCCCATCCCTCAAACCCAAACCCCTCTTTGGGTGAAATCCCCCTTCATCCCCATAGATCCAAACCCCAAACCCCAACCTCCCATCCCCCCAAAGGCCCAAATCCGCCACCCCCAACCCCATCCCCCAAAATCCAAACCTCCCCCCCCCAGACCCAACCCCAAACACTCCATCCCCACAGCCCCCCTATATCCACACCCCAAAACCCAATACCCCCCAAACCCCAAACCCTCAATTCCCTAAACTCCTTCAACCCCCCCCATTCCCCACACTCCCATCTGTCAGACCCACACCCTAAACCCCAAACTCCCCCCAGCCCCCAAAATCTCCAAATCCCCTAAAGCCCCCAATATACAAATCCCAATCCCAATCCCCCCAAAAATCCCAAGTCCCCATCCTCCAACCCCCCCCCTTCGTCCCCCAAACACCCCCAACCCCCCCCATCCACCCTCAGACCCAACCCCCCAAGTGACAAAGCCCCCCATCCCCAAAGCCCCCCTATACCCAAACCCAAACCCCAAACCCCCCATCCCCAAAGCCCCCCTATATCCAAACCCCAAATCCCCCATCCCCAAAGCTCCCCTATATCCAAACCCAAACCCCAAACCCCCATCCCCAAAGCCCCCCTATATCCAAACCCCAAATCCCCCATCCCCAAAGCCCCCCTATATCCAAGCCCCAACCCCCAACCTCTCCCAACCCCCAAATCCCCCATCCCCAAAGCTCCCTATGTCCAAACCCCGAACCCCACTCTCTCCAAAACCCCAAACCCCCATCCTCAAAGCCCCCCCATATCCAAACCCCAAACCCCCATCCCCAAAGCCCCCCCATATCCAAACCCCAAACCCCCCATCCCCAAAGCCCCCCTATATCCAAACCCCAAACACCAATCTCTCCCAACCCCAAATCCCCCATCCCCAAAGCTCCCTATGTCCAAACCCCGAACCCCAATCTCTCCCAAACCCCAAACCCCCATCCCCAAAGCCCCCCTATATCCAAACCCAAACCCCCCATCCACAAAGCCCCCCTATATCCAAACCCCAACGTCTCCCAACCCCCAAATCCCCCATCCCCAACCCCCCCTATATCCAAACCCAAATCCCCCCATCCCCAAAGCTCCCTATATCCAAACCCCAAGCCCCAATCTCTCCCAAACCCCAAACCCCCCATCCCCAAAGCCCCCCCATATCCAAATCCCAAACCCCAATCTCTCCCAAACCCCAAACCCCCCATCCCCAAAGCCCCCATCCCCAAACCCCAATCTCTCCCAAACCCCAAGTCCCCCATCCCCAAAGCCCCCCCATATCCAAACCCCAAGCCCCAATCTCTCCCAAACCCCAAACCCCCCATCCCCAAAGCCCCCCTATATCCAAACCCCAACCCCCAATCTCTCCCAACCCCCAAATCCCCCATCCCCAAAGCTCCCTATGTCCAAACCCCGAACCCCAATCTCTCCCAAACCCCAAATCCCCCATCCCCCAAAGCCCCCCTATATCCAAACCCAAATCCCCCATCCCCAAAGCCTCCCTATATCCAAACCCCAAGTCCCAATTTCTCCCAAACCCCAAATCCCCCATCCCCCAAAGCCCCCCTGTATCTAAACCCCAAATCCCCCATCCCTCAAAGCCCCCCTATATCCAAACCCAAACCCCCCATCCCCAAAGCCCCCCTATATCCAAACCCCAAGCCCCAATTTCTCCCAAACCCCAAACCCTCCATCCCCAAAGCCCCCCTATATCCAAACCCCAAACACCAATCTCTCCCAACCCCCAAATCCCCCATCCCCAAAGCACCCCTATATCCAAACCCAAACCCCAAAGCACCCCACATCCCCAAAGCCCCCCTATATCCAAACCCAAACCCCAAACCCCCCATCCCCAAAGCTCCCTATATCCAAACCCCAAGCCCCAATCTCTCCCAAACCCCAAACCCTCTATCCCCAATGCCCCCCCATATCCAAATCCCAAACCCCAATCTCTCCCAAACCCCAAACCCTCATCCCCAAAGCACCCCTATATCCAAACCCAAACCCCAAAGCACCCCACATCCCCAAAGCCCCCCATACCCAAACCCCAATCTCTCCCAAACCCCAAGTCCCCCTTCCCCAAAGCCCCCCCATATCCAAACCCCAAACTCCCCATTCCCAAAGCCCCCCCATATCCAAACCCACCATCCCCAAAGCCCCCCTATATCCAAACCCCAACCCCCAATCTCTCTCAAACCCCAAGTCCCCCATCCCCAAAGCCCCCCCATATCCAAACCCCAAACCTCCCATCCCCAAAGCCCCCCATATCCAAACTCAAACCCCCCATCCCCCCCCCCCCCCCCATCCCCTCACGCACCCCCCGCCCGCAGCTCGCATCCTTCGGGCACTTCCATAGCGGTGAGGAAGCGGACGTGCCCGGTGTGACCCTGCGGTAAACCCAGCGGAGGAGGCGCCGCTTCCGCCCCTCGTTTCCCAGGCATGGCCAGGCTCAGCACGACGCCGGCGCTGGTTCCGACCCACAGCAGGTCCTGGCAGGCCAAAAGAGACGTGATCCGCAGACACGCAGCTTTGTGCTGTCGGATGATGGCGTCCGAACCTGGGGGGGGGGGGGGGGGAGGGGGGGGAGAGTAGGGGGGGAGCGAGGAAGGGAGGGTGGGAACGGAGGGATGGGTGAAGATGGGTCCTGGTTGGGGTGTTGGATCTGGGGGCTGGGTTTGGGGGGGGGGGGGGGGGGGGGTCCTGGACCTGGGTCCTGACTGCTGTATTTGGATCCCGGTTGCTGTGTGGAATGTTGGACCTGGGGCCTGGTTGGGTTATGGGGTCCTGTACCCAGGTCCTGACTGTTATATGTGGTCTTGGACCTGGGTCCTGACTGCTGTATGAGGTTCTGGATCTGGGTCCTGGTTGCTGTATGGGGTTCCGCACCCAGGTCCTGGCTGCTATCTGTGGTTCTGGACCTGGGTCCTGGTGGGGATGTGGGGTTCTGGATCCAGGTCCTGGCTGCTGTATGAGATCCTGTACCTGGGTCCTGACTGCTGAATAGAGTTCTGTACCTGGGTCCTGGTTGGGGTGTGGAGTGTTGGGCTTGGGTCCTTGACTGCTGTATGGAGCTTTGTACCTGGGTCCTGGTTGGGGTGTGGGGTTCTGGATCTGAGTCCTGACTGCTGTATGTGGTGCTGGATCTGGATCCTGACTGCTCTATTTGGATCCTGGTTGCTGTGTGGAATGTTGGACCTGGGTCCTGGTTGGGTTATGGGGTCCTGTATCCAGGTCCTGACTGTTATATGTGGTCTTGGCCCTGGGTCCTGACTGCTGTATGAGGTTCTGGATCTGGGTCCTGGTTGGGGTGTGGGGTTCCGTACCCAGGTCTTGGCTGCTATCTGTGGTTCTGTACCTGGGTCCTGGTTGGGGTGTGGGGTTCTGGATCCGGGTCCTGACTGCTGTATGTGGTGCTGGATCTGGATCCTGACTGCTGTATTTGGATCCTGGTTGCTGTGTGGAATGTTGGACCTGGGGCCTGGTTGGGTTATGGGGTCCTGTACCCAGGTCCTGACTGTTATATGTGGTCTTGGACCTGGGTCCTGACTGCTGTATGGGGTTTTGTATCTGGGTCCTGGTTGCTGTATGGGGTTCCGCACCCAGGTCTTGGCTGCTATCTGTGGTTCTGGACCCGGGTCCTGGTGGGGATGTGGGGTTCTGGATCCAGGTCCTGGCTGCTATGTGAGATCCTGTACCTGGGTCCTGACTGCTGAATAGAGTTCTGTACCTGGGTCCTGGTTGGGGTGTGGGGTTCTGGATCTGAGTCCTGACTGCTGTATGTGGTGCTGGATCTGGATCCTGACTGCTGTATTTGGATCCTGGTTGCTCTGTGGAATGTTGGACCTGGGTCCTGGTTGGGTTATGGGGTCCTGTACCCAGGTCCTGACTGTTATATGTGGTCTTGGACCTGGGTCCTGACTGCTGTATGAGGTTCTGGATCTGGATCCTGGTTGCTGTATGGGGTTCCGCACCCAGGTCCTGGCTGCTATCTGTGGTTCTGGACCTGGGTCCTGGTGGGGATGTGGGGTTCTGGATCCAGGTCCTGGCTGCTGTATGAGATCCTGTACCTGGGTCCTGACTGCTGAATAGAGTTCTGTACCTGGGTCCTGGTTGGGGTGTGGAGTGTTGGGCCTGGGTCCTTGACTGCTGTATGGAGCTTTGTACTTGGGTCCTGGTTGGGGTGTGGGGTTCTGGATCCGGGTCCTGACTGCTGTATGTGGTGCTGGATCTGGATCCTGACTGCTGTATTTGGATCCTGGTTGCTCTGTGGAATGTTGGACCTGGGTCCTGGTTGGGTTATGGGGTCCTGTACCCAGGTCCTGACTCTTTTATGTGGTCTTGGACCTGAGTCCTGACTGCTGTATGAGGTTCTGGATCTGGGTCCTGGTTGGGGTGTGGGGTTCTGTACCCAGGTCCTGACTGCTATATGCAGTCCTATACCTGGGTCCTGACTGCTGTATGGGGTTCTGTACTCTGGTCCTGGTTGGGCTGTAGAGTGTTGGACCTGGGTCCTGACTGCTGAATGGGGTTCTGGATCTGGGTCCTGGTTGCTGTATGGGGTTCCACAGCCAGGTCCTGGCTGCTATATGTGGTCCTGAACCCGGGTCCTGGGTGAGGTGTGGGGTTCTGTACCCAGGTCCTGACTGCTATATTAGGTCCTGCTCCTCGGTTCTGACTTGTATGGGGTTCTGGACCCAGGTCCTGGTTGGGCTGTGGTGTGTTGGACCTGGGTCCCAGTTGGGGTGTGGGATTCTGGACCCGGGTCCTGGCTGCTATATGAGATCCTGTACCTGGGTCCTGACTGCTGAATGGGGTTCTGTACCTGGGTCCCGGTTGAGGTGTGGGGAGTTGGACCCGTGTCCTATTTGCTGTGTGGGGTTCTGTTCCCAGGTCCTGATTGCTGCGTGGGATTCTGCAGCTGGGTCCCGATTTCTGCATCTGATATTGAATCCACCGAGGGATTTCCCTGTTCCTACATGGGATTTTTGTAGCTGCTGTGTCACTTCTGCGTGGGATTTTGCACCTGACTCCCAGTTTCTGCATGGGATGTCCTGATTTCCGCATGGAATTTTCTACAAGTTGCCCTATGTCTGCATGGGATTTTGCAACCACTTCTGTAGTTTTCCATGGGATTTTGCAGTCACCACCTCACTTTTGAACGGGATACTGAAGCCACTGATGGGTTGCCCTATTCCTGCACGGGGTTTTGCAACCGCTGTTCTAATTCCCTGAGGGATTTTGCACTCCCCCCCTTATTTCCCTAAAGGATTTTGCAGCTGCGTCCTAATTTCTGCACGGGGTTTTGCAGCCACTCTCTCCTTTTTGGGCAGGAGCTGCAGAATGCAGAGGTTGAACCCACTGAGTGCAGAGGGGGCCTGGCTCCCTTGCAGCCAGGTTGGGATGTGGATGGTACAGAAGCACTTTGTGCTACCAGATGCTCAAGAGCTCCGGAGCAAAGCCCTCTATAACAAGAGGCGACGTGATCGGATTGGGAAACGGGAAAGCACCAGGTAAAGGGGCTGGGTTTGCTTACCAGCGAGCATCTTGTGCACTGGGGGGGTGATGTCAGCCTCGGCCAGCTGCTCGTAGCTGGTGGGGTGGTAGAGGCGGACCAGGGCACTGCCCTGCAGCGACAGCCAGACGCCGGGCGCCGCGCTCACCATGCAGCTCACGCTGCGCCCGCTGTCCTGCCCCACCTGGAGGGTGTGCTGCGGGGACAGAGCCACGCCGGCGTCACCCACAGCCACCAGGGGACGTCTGTGTGGTCCCCACCCTGTGGCCGTCACGCCTGCCGTGGTACCTCTTGTTCCAGAGTGGCCGTGTTGAGGACGATGACCCGGTTCTGGCAACCGCACCACAGCTTCCCTGCCACCGCCACCATCTTTGTGATGGGGCTGCCTGGGGAGCCCAGCGAGAGGGATTTGGAGTTCTGAGGGTCCCAGAAGCGACCTGTAAGGACGGGGGGAGATACAAGGGTTGTGACAGCAGCAGAACCTCCAGCTTGGGGGGAAGAGTTTGCTGGAAGCATTCTATCCAGAGTGATGGATCCTCCTTCGTGGAATCGTAGAATTGCTGAGGTTGGAAAAGACCTTAAAGATCATCGAGTCCAACCACAACCCAACCATCCTGCCCTAAATCACGTCCCTGAGCACCACATCCAAAGGGTTTTTAAACACATCCGGGGATGGTGACTCAACCACCGCCCTGGGGAGCCCATTGCAGTGCTTAACAACCCTTTCTGTAAAGAAGTTTGTCCTGATATCCAACCTAAACCTCCCTCGGCACATCTTGAAGCCATTTCCCCTTGTCCCATCACCTATCCTCTGCAGGGGGCATCACAGAATCACAGGGGTTGGAAGGGATCATCAAGTCCAACCCCCGTGCTAAAGCAGGTTCCCTGCAGTTAGTTGCAAGTGGGGCAAGCGTGGGGTCCTCAGTTGATGTCCTTTGGAAGCAGGGGCCACATGCTCCAAATTTGAGGTTGCCCATTCAGCATCTCTCAAAGACGGCCCTCCTTGCCCAGAGAGCCCAGGGATAAGGTCTTGGATTTGTAGGGGTCCCAGAAGGGACCTGGAAGGATGATGTGGAGATGGAGCGGTCACTACAGCAGCAAAACCCCAAGCTGGGGGGAAGGGGGTGTCTGGAAACACCATTATCCAGACGCTGATGGATCTCCTTCTATAGGGGATGTAAGCTTGGGGACATTGGGAGTGGTGACATGAGCTGATATCCCTTGGGACACCGGTGAGCAGAGACCACCATGCTCTGTATTTGGGGCTGCTCATTCAGCATCCCTCGAGAATGGCCCTCCCCAGTCTGCTGCTTCCCCTGTGGATGCCAGCACCCAAAGCACCCCTCCCTCAGAGACCAAACCATCGCTGCTTTGGGGTCCATCCAGCAGCCTCACCTGGCTCCCGCTGGTACACGATGAGCTCTCCATTGGCCAACGACACGAACACTTGGTTATCGAGGTACCTGTGGGGGGAGGAAAGCTTTGAGAAGCACTGCTGGGCAGCCTGAAACCACCCCATGAAAAACCAAACAAGCCCAGAGCCCCCTTACAAGATGCACATGACGGAAGCAGCGTGCTGCATCTTCATGCTGTTCTTCCTGTTGCGGATGTTATCCGACGACTGGTAGACGTGGATGCTGCGGAGGTGGGAGAGAGAAAAAGCACGGGGCTGAGGCTCTTGAAGGGCTGAGCTGCGTCCGTGTGGGTCCTCACTCACCAGCCGTCCTCGGTGCCCAGCCACATGGAGCTCTGGTAGGCTTCGGGGTCAAGGCTCAGCAGGTCCTCGAGGCTGCCGCGGGTGAAGGAGCCGCGGCTGGAGCGCCGTAGGGCTCGTCCATCTGTTGGGCTCTCACCACGCCGGCTCTGACCGAAGGCGGTGGCCAAAGGAAGGAAACCAGGCTCCTGTTCCTCCTCTGAGCTCGTCGTCTCTGCTGCTGCCTCTTTGCAGCTTGGGATTTCCTCATCTGTGGGGGAGAGAGAGGAGGAGGGGATGGGTCGTAGATATGCAGAATCGTTGAGGTTGGAGAAGAGCTCTGAGATCGTCTCCAGTCCAACTGTCAACCCAACCTTGCCACGATCACAGAATCACAGAACCACCACGATTGGAAAAGACCTCCAAGATCATCCATCCATCCATCCTGGACTTCCAGTCTGACCATCCACCTACCACCAATATTTCCCCATTAAACCACGTCCCTCAGTACAACATCTAAACGTTTCTTGAACTCCATGATGTCTCCATCCTGGGAGGCATTCAAGCTCAGACTGGAGCAGGCTCTGAACAGCCTGTTCAAGTGGTAGATCAGAGAATCACAGAATCGTTCGGGTTGGAAAAGACTGCCTGTCCAAGTGATGGGGATGAGAGCACGTGATGCTGCACAAAGCCCTCGTGGTACCCAGGGAGGACGGATGGATGCTGACCCCTAAACATGCCAGAATTTGCCCCACACACAGAACCACTTGCCACCCCAGCCCCAGCATCATGGAGCCTGGACTAGGACCCTGCCTCCATCTCTTTACCCAGGGTTTCTTCAGCTTAAGAATACAAATGGAATTTGCAGTGACAACCTTCATCCAATGCAGACCTCGCACACTTCTGCACCGTCCCTGGGGGTGTTGAAGGCCAGGTAGGATGGGGCCATGGGCAACCTGAGCTGGTGCCTGGTTTAGTGGCATGGGAGCTGGAAGTCGATCTTTGCGATCCCTTCCAACGGAAGCCATTCTATGATCGTGTGGTTCTACAACAGAAGGCAAGCTTCCACTCCAATCCTGTCATCACGAGATCCAAATTAGGATCTCTCTGAGTCTTTTCCCTGTGTTTCTTCAACAGACAAACGGAAGCTCCTTTTCTATCAATTTGCAATTGAACCCAAGGCAGAGTGGGGAACAATCACATCGATGACGGAGCTGCCCGCTGATTTGGGACAAAAAAATGGATGACTCACTGCCGAAGCTGGAGGAAATGGTGGAGTGGCTGGCCTGGCTCTGCAGCGTGCCCGAGGGGCTGGGCGAGGACTCATCATCTGTGTCATCACTGTCAAAGGGCACCAGCTCCCGGTGCGTGCTGTCCACGGGCTCAGAGAGCTCCAGTGATGAGCCCGAGATGGAGATGTGCAGGCATTGCTGTGGCCCTGAATCCTCTGATTGTGTCGGTGCCGGCTCCGAGGACGGGCTCACCATCGGCTCCGTGCGCTCCCTGCCATGGGGACAGCCACAGCTCCAGCAATGCAACAGCTGGCACCATCCATGGGGTGAGGGTCTCCTTACCTATAGGGTCGCTTGAGGCCGGGCACGGAGGCGATGCAGAGGATCCTGGCTGAGCAGACAGCGATGCACGCCTCGACGATGGGCTCCTTGCGGATGCTGAGCAGGCAGACCTGCCCCACGTAGCCGTCGCTGTTGCACACCCACACCTCGTGGGCATTCTCTGGGCTGCTGTGGCTGGGAGAAGCACAAGAAAACTGGAAAGGGGCAAAAAACAAGGAGAGGTCACTTGGGAAGGTGCCGGCACGGTGGCATCCCGCTGGTGGACAGGAATACCCAAATGCACCCTCCCGAGAATGTGGGAGCAGCAGATGGACCCACCTGCATCCCGCTTCGTGTCTTCATGATGGGAATGGCTTTGAGGAATTCGGGGTCCAGGCAGTTTTTGCTGGAAGCTGGGGAAATAAGAGAAGAGCTGAAAACTGGGACGAAAAGGAGGCAGTTTGGGCGAAATGGGGTGTGAGATGCTGAGCCCATTTCTGTCTCCCACCCCACGTCCCAGCATTACCCAGCTTCTTCTTGGCATCCTCGAGGGCTTGCTCGAAGCCGAGCCGCGCGTCGGGGTTGGGGAACTCGAAGATGAAGGACTCGGTGCCATCGGCCTTGGCGGCGCTGAGCTCCACTTTGTTGGGGGGGAAGGCCATGCTGAAGGACAAGGACTGCTTCTCTGCCAGTTCCCGGTGGATGGCAGCCATCAGGTCCTTGATGACATCATCCAGGCTCTGGGGAGGGTGACAGCATCAGGGTCCATGGGGTACACAAGCCCCACGTCCATCCCGCTTTACATCCCTTGGAGTAACGTCCCAACCCTCCTGTGGCTTCAGGGCTGGTGGCATCCGGGTCCTTTGAGGGCCACCAACCCTCCCGCAGGCTCTGTGTTTCAGTGAGTACATCCCAGCTGGTCTCATGGTGGAGGTCACCCACAGGGGGCCACCGTCCCCATACCTGGTGGGGGAAGCTGAGGGTCTCTGACAGCTTGCTGACTTGGCCCAACGTGCTGAGATCTTCATCCAGGCGGCAGATGCTCTTCTGGATGCTCTCACGGTTGGTGGCTTGTGAGGCACCTGCATGGGGACATGCGTGTGACATTAACCCCTTCCTCCCCACAGCTGCCCAGGGGAGGCTTCTCCCCTAATGCTTTTAGCCAGGGCGGTGTCAGCCCCAGCAATGGGATGCTTTGAGCCCATCGCTGTTTGCTAGGGGTTGAGTAATGGCTTTCAGGACATGGAATTGGCATCAGGCAGTGGCAGACCTTTGATGATGTCCACGTCCTCCAGTGGCAGCTTCC